TTGTTGTTGTGAATGCACACATTGTTGCTTGTTGCACCTAGATACAATCGCATTATCAGCGTGGCAATCGCGGCGAGTTTGAATATACTTTTATATACATAAGTACATATACTACTATATATTTATATATATATATATATATGTATTGTATATACTTGTATTTACATATAGGATAGGTTTATGAGTGTGGGTAAATGCCAATATAAACCCATGTATTGTCATTTATTTTTACTTTATTTATTTGTATACTATTTATAGTTATACACATATAATATATATAATATGTGTGTAAATACATATATATACATATTTGTATATTTACATACTATTTGTGTTTGCAGTTTACCGCTTTGGCCCTGTACTGTTGTTGTCTGTTTTCGCGCTATTAAACTGATAAGCCGCAGCAACAACAACAGCAACAAATTCAACCGCCTCAGCATCATCAGCCGCCGCAGTAGCCCCTATGGCAGCTAAAAGCCCAGAAACAGCAGCTAAAAGTATTGAATTTGTCAGCTGATAAGACGCTTCGCACGCACACCAAACCAAGTCCATGTGCATTAAGTACATGTGCACTGAAATTGTGTTTGTGTTGGTGCGCGCTTCTACGCCGCTTGCATTTGAGCTGACAAATGGCGAAATGAGCGTGGAGGACAATGTATTTAAAATGCGAAAAAAGTAATCAAAATTAGCGCATGAAAAATATACTTCTGTATATACTATTTACTTAAAAATTCTTAATAATAATTATTCGTGGAAGCGATCTTTGAACACACACATATATAGTAAGCTACATATTCTACTAGCAGGAATGAGAAAGGCGCTGAAAACAGATTCTAAATAATGTAATGGATTATTTAACTGATCGCTGCAGTGGCGGTTTTAAAATGAGTTACTGTACTCAGGAAGTCATTACTGCCGAAACTCCAATACAGTGAAAGAATTAGTGTGGAAACTAACACATACACATCGTACATTGGCCTTTACACAACAGTTTCGGTTAGATTCATCAATTCGGCTTTAAGAAACTCATTGAAACTTTAACAAAAATTTCTGGTAGCGCTTTTTGGCAATTAACCAGTGACTTAACCGATAGTTGGCTCGCAGCATAAATAGGGGAAATTGTGTTTATATATATATGGGTACATACATACATATGTACTTATGCTACATAATAATTACATATATTTATGTAAGCAAGCTATTGCAGTTCCATAAGTCATTCGCCTTATTTAAAGTTGGACTTTGACCACAAATAACTTTTTAACGATACAATTCTTTACTGCTCAACTGAAATGTTGCCTATTCCGAACCTAGCATTTTGTACTTATTGAATCAACTGTTAAAGAAAAAGATCAATCTTTGAACTGAGAGAGTCATGGCAGAAGTTTTCGTACAGTAACTTCCGAGATGGTTTTTAACCCTTAATATATTACATCCATCTATTTAAAAATAACTTTACAACGACTTATATTTACACGGCTTGGAACTATATATTTATGTTAAACTGTTACTATAGAGTCACTTAAAAATTTTTGTGAATCTTATGCAGAAAATATTTCTGAAATATTCATTCGATCTTGGATTTAATAACCGACGGCAACTTCGTATAATAGCTATTAACTTATGGAAGATGCTGTTAAGCTTCATTAAGGCTCTCCTCTGTATTTTACTTGTGTCTGTAATAGGATATATAAAACAACGGTATTTTAATATAATCTTAAGGGGTCAATTAAAAATGGAAAATGTGCCTACTGGCTATTTCCTACTTCTATAGATTTGTACTTGTGTTCTACAAACTCTTCGAAAATATTATTCTGATCGCATAGTGTTGATTTATTGCTCGTTAAAACGAAACAAGATAAATCTCCGGAATTTGTTTTCTCATAATCTTGGTGTTATGCAAACAACTCAAGCGATGTTAACAAACTTCTCTGGGAAGAATAATAAAAATGCTAATAAAGTTAACATAACCTCAAACTAATATAACCCAATATAAAACGGATTCGCACATTTTTTTGTCTCCAACACACTTGCAATGTCAAATAAAACAAAACGTTCTCCATACATACATAAGTACGTATGTGCCTTTTCTTATAACCTTCAACAAAAGAAATTGACACAAATTTATTTCGAATTAAATGTCAACGAAACTGTCAATTTGCATTGTTTGCCATTGACAGAGGGCGCATCACCGCTGGACTTCTAACTTTACACAAATTTTACTTTTTTGTTTTTGTAAATCAATGACCATTTATTTGTTCCAGTAGCTTAACAAATAAAATGAATTTTTTAAAGTAAAACTAACTAAAAGTGAAATCGAACCAGAAAAACATAGAAACGAAAATAGAAAAGTTAAAAAGAAAGTCGGAAAGGACGCACTGATGCGTTGAATTAAACTGTCAATTTCAACAAATTAGAGTCGTGTTTTGGTTATTCTTTTGTGGGCGGCATCAAATAAAGTGCGGTGGTGCCTACATAATTCTGTGTGGCAAACCCACGTCAACTTGCCAATATAACTGGTATGAGACGGCTAACAGGTTTTTGGTTACAAAGTAATTGACAGGTGGATTTAAAGCGAAAAATTTAAAGTTGAAGCAGAGAAAACGATAGCAAAGTTGATTACTGTACGAAGATTGTCAAGCAATTAAAATAAAAGAATGGTTTTCGCAAAATTTTACTTGAAATCTGAACGGGATTATGTGTCTTTTTTAATTCAATTAATTAACTTGGATATTTCCTGTACAGTTAGCTCAAGTAATTAAATCGTAAATTTGGCAAATTAAATTTTAAATTGAAGCTAATAACTTATAACTTGGTTTAATTTAGTTGTAAACTGAGACAATTAAGTTGTAAATCGGCGACTCAATTAAGTTTTTTAATTGATTTGTAAATTGAGTAATTTAATTGGTAAACTGCGACAATTAAGTTGTAAATTGTGATAATTAAGTTGTAAATTGGGACAATTAAGTTGTAAATTGTGATAATTAAGTTGTAAATTGAGACAATTAAGTTGTAAATCGGCGACTCAATAAAGTTTTTTAATTGGTTTTTGACAGGTGTTAAGGAAGCGGTTTAAAAGTTTCAACAATTTTTTTAGTCCAATATTGATAAGAATTTAATTCTAATATTAATGTAGGCTGTTACTCGTCAATAATATGGAGATAGGATAACGTATAGTATAATTGCATAGAATAAAAATAAATTGTTGATTATTTAAACCTACTTATTTTACTAAACTAAGGTAAGTTTTGAAACTTTCTAATGAAATGAAAAAAAGTTTGGGTCCAAACAAAAACTTATTTTAGCCGCGTAGAGTTTTTTTTATATGTAGGTATCATTCATTAAACCAATCTTAATCAATCTTAACCAAAGCAAAATTTAAGTTTTATTTCAAATTATGCAGTTTTTGTTAAATATCTTTAGAATTTAAACACTAACTGATTTACAATTAAGCACAAATTGGCAAGTTGAAAAAATTAAATTTAAGAAGGTCAGGAGTAATCGAACTGTCTTTTTGTACAAACTTTAAGCTAGGACCAGATAGAGAAACTTGTTCGCCAAGCCGAAGTATACACGTGATAATATTCAGCTCAATGGTACACTTGATCGCTTTTTTTTAGATAGCTAGTTATTTAAGTCAATCAGTAAATTCGCTACATATAAAAGCCTATTAAAATATTACTAATTGTACGAATGAATGGCTCAACTGAAGCTTCTATAATCACGTTTGAAATAATTTAATGAATTTGATAACTTAGAATGATTTGAAATGAACAAAAGCCGCTAAAAGAACTTCGTTGTAAAGAGGTTAACAAAAACTACTAGGAATTCTTTGTGTTAATTCACAAAGCTTTAGCCAATTTCGATGATGTGAAGAAAAAAAAAAAGAAAATATAAGCACTATCAACGAACCCTTCTAGTTATCTATTGGGCGATAGGGTACTTTGGTCATATAGAAGACTAAGATTACAAAAGTCTCTTGCCATTTCTTTAGTACTTTTGACCAAAAAATGCATTATTTGGTGAAGTTCATGAAGAAACTAAATTTGACAGTGCATTTCGCTTATGACATAGCGTATTAATCACCATTGCGTACTCTATAGTTCTTACTTTTTTTTTCAAAAACACATGAAGATTTCGACAAATGGAATATTGCCAGTGTTAATTAATGACTTTTTTATTCAGTGTTCTTTTCACACATCCTTAATATGTTTAGCTTCAAAGTTATAGCAAGTGAAATTGGGTAAACCACTTTGATAAATTTTATTGAATTGAATTAGTGGATCATTTTAAGTATTTAGAATGCTAAAAAATTGATAAGAGCTTTGATAGTGTTTGCTTCTGGCTGTTATTTTGTGAAAATTTCAGTTTTAAAACAAATTTTATTAATACAAAAATATATATTGCCCCAAATAAATATGTACGTATTACCTAAAAATTCACAATTATTGATTTTAAAATAATTTATTGCTAAAAATTATTATTAAGTTATTATTGTGTGTAATTTGTTTTTATTTTTTCTCGTTATGTCAACTTACGGCTATTCACAAAATTGTGAAATAATTAACACTTTCTAGGTGTGCACGCACAGCAACATTTGACCAAAGACCTCAACACAGGAAATACATATTTGTTTTAGTTATTCATTAAATATTATATTATATTTTGAAAAAATATATATAAATTTACATATATGCGTATTTCACATAATTATAATTAATGTTGGCATATACAAATGATTTAATCAAACAAATGAGTTAAAGCAAGAATATTAGATAAACAAAAATTAATTAGTTAGAAAAATAACAAAATTTTTACAATACTTGAATTTATAATTCAAACTTTTTTACTCGCTATGTATTTGCACACGACAAATCGGCTAACGTGTGATTAAAATTATATAATTCATTATTTATTTAGTGAGTAGCACGAAATGCACACATAATTTAGTTTAGTAACTTTTAATTAATTAAAAATATGTTTTTTTGCTTTTCTTACAGCATTCAACTTATTAAAGCAAACGCTCGCAGCTGTTGAATTTTTCACAAACAACAAAATCTATTAGCTTTAATTGGCAGCTGATCAAACCTAAAGGTATGTATGTATGTGTTTGTAGAATTAACGGTGCACTTTAGTGATAACCCTTTGTGTGTGTTGGTGAGCCTATATGCATTATTTATGTACTCGTATGTGTGCAGTCAATTGTTTATAATACAGTAAGCTTGTCAATTGCCCTGTTTATAGACATTTGCACTTGATATTGGCAAAATAGCTCATTAAAAATCGCTATTTCAACAAAATTGTATATTTGCCAGCGACGCGTTTATCTCTTTCATGCGCATACGAGCGGCAGATATTGTCTCATTGTCAGCGCAAATTTATTGGTATGAATAATTCAGCGATCGTTTACGCGCATTTATTTATTTATTTGGTGTTATGCTATGCTATGTCATGTTATGTTTTTTCTGTATTTTTATTATATCTTTTTGTTGTTATGACGCATTGCTTTAATTTATTTAATTTAAATTGGCTAATAACAAGCTATGATGGCGTATATGCCTACCTAGTACATGTATATGTACATATGTATGTATGTATGTATAATATTAACATGGCTACAAATTTTTTGTGTCCATAAAACATTTATGCAGATATACATATACGTATGTATGTATGTGCGCTTATGCACATATTTAGTCGTACTATATTTTTTTCTTGTCCATGAGCGTAATAAATTTTTTACCATTGACGTTTGTGACATTGTCAAATGTTTAAGCGAGATCGTGAAAAAATACGCACATACGTATGTAAGATATTTTTTATTTATTTATTATATATATACAATGTATACATAAGTATTTTTTCAAACTCTTTTGCATAGTTCTGGCAACGCTTCGCAGTTTTTCCCAAAACGCTTGTGTTTCAATGAGAATGTTCACACTGTTGTCATTGTTGCAGTTGTTGTTGTGAAAATTTGTGTTGACAATTTAATACAGATTAAAAAAAAAAAAACATATTGCTCGTTTCAACTGTGCTAAACAGCATTAAATTTTAAAATTTAACGTAAAGTAAATAAAATTAAAAAAATATTTATAAATAAGCATACCTTATATATTTTTTAATTTATGAAAAATGAATAAAAAGTACCAGAACAAAACGAAAACATTAAATTGGGCTGCATCGCAGCTATAATACTCTTGACAGAAGCAATCTTATAGCATATAAGTTGTATAAAATAATCTGTATCTTGATTTTCATTGGTCAGTTTGTATGACAGCTATTCGATATAGTAGTCCAATCTGAACAATATGTTAGGAGATTACAGCGATGCTAACGGCGAAAATTCGTGCCAGATTTTGTGAAAAAATCTCATCGAATGAAAAAGTTTTCACTACAAGAACTTGATTTTGATCGGTAAGTTGTATGGCAGCTATATGCTATAGTTTTCCGATATCATCGGTTCCGACAAATGACCGGCTTCTTGGTAAGGAAAAGACATGTGAAAAATTTCAGTGCGATACCTCAAAAGCTAAGGGAACTAGTTCACGTATATACAGACGGACGGTCGGACATGGCTAAATCGACTCAGCTTAACATTTATGTATACACTTTGTAGGCTCTCCGACGTTTCGTTTTGGCTGCTACAAACATCGTGGCAAACTTAATATACGTACCCTGTTCAGGGTATAAAAACACAAAAAAAAAAAATGAATTAACTATATGAAACTAAAGCGCTTCGTATGTTATTTTATCATTTGCTAATGTTTATTGACACATACTTCTGTTTTTCGTCTAAAAAATGCACATAAAAACAGATTAATCCGACTTACGCATATTTACGGTGAATAATTTTCATACTTTGATAAGCTTGAACGTAAAGTTTCTTTTCCGACTCACCTGAAATGATAGAAAAAGCTATAATAAACATTTTTAATAATTCAGAATTTAATTAGTGTGGTATTAAGTTTTTTACTATTTAATTCTTGTTTTAAAAAATGGTGCTGAAATTGACTTTAATAAAAATGTATCTACTTTGTTTACATTGGCCGGTGAATATGAATTTCATAAGCCACTATATTTGATATTAGACAAACGTTATTGTTGTTTTGTTACAAAGTTAGTAGATTAAATCGATGACACACAAAAAATTCAGCATAATTTGCCGTGACGTAAATGTAACCAAGCGCTCTGAGAGCCGTGAGAGCTGTCACAAACAGCTGTATTTGTTTAAACACTTTTTCTTTGTTAAATATATTGTAGAATATTTTTAATCGAAATCTGAACTAAAATAATATATTTGCGGTTTATCAACAAGCGTCGTCCTGCAAAAACTACGAAGTAGGTTTACGTTTTGTTGAATACTAGAATTAATTCCTAAATGCTTTCTTCACTGACTGAATAATAGGAAAATTATTCAAAATAAAACAATACTCGTACTTAAGGTTTTAGTATGGGAAAGTTGAGATCATTACACTTTACAATCCATTACGGCGTATTGATAAACTCCTGCTTAACTTAATTACGAGATGCTTCGGAGTTACTAGACTACTCTCTTAGACAAAATAAGTGTCTAATGCAAAAAAAAAAAGAATATCAGCTACATTTCTTTATGGACAGAGGCTGTTATTGTCTAGCTGTTTCCGTCAGAAAGTTAAAGTTGCCACTATCGTTTTCTGTCTAAAAGAAATTAAAACGTATTGATCTTAAATTAGAGACAAATTTAAAAGCTTTAAGGCCTATCATAGTACCTAAAAAATATATATATATGATTTCTAATGTTTTGTAGATTTAGCAATGCTGTTGAAGTTGGGTTATTCTGCAATAGTAAATTCATATGAACTCGGGCGGAATTGTCAATGCAACTGAGAAAATGAGATTCATGTGGCATTAAATAAAATGTTTTCATTCTCCAGCAGAGAAGAATGGTCCAATGATTTTGTGATCGACAGTTCCAACGGCGAAATCTACATCTTCAGCGACGGATCAAAGGGTGAAATACGAACAGGAGCGCGCTTCTTCTGTAGTAATCTATACACAGAAGGTAGCTTGAAGCTAAATAACCAGCAAGTCCATAAACCCTCTAGTGGATAGCCTATCTGGGCGCAAATACAAAATCTTCGGCGAATGTAGAGATATATATATTTCACGGCTTGGGTAGCTGATATGGGAAAGAAATCAGTTGAGTTGCTGAATAAGGCTTAATTTGGTTAGCACCCAGGAGTACAATGGGCCTAATGATGGCCGCCTGCGCTCTACTACTATACTTTATAGAGGATACGAGATTAATGAGCTAGTTGGGAAAGGTTTTCTCGAGATTCTACCTTAGTTGTACATATTTAAAATAATTTAGATAAAATCATCTTACACTTTCCTGCTCATTAAGTTTCAACTTTACTCTTTTAATTTCATGGAAAAACAACAAAGTTATCCAGTTTAATTGTAGATAATATATAATATGTAGATAACTCATTAAAGTGGTATAACTCTCTGTCAGCCTATCTCTTGCGGCGCAGTACGCCTACGTACTAAAACCTGAACTCCGTCACCTGCAGCTTTGGTGAAAGACCCTGGCAGGGCCAGTTGCTTGTTCGTTTCGCTACACTCCAAGCTCTGATAAGTCGCTTATATGGTTAATGGTGTAGTATTTTATATTTTTTTAGCCGATGTTTATATTCATATGTATATAAGTATGTTGAGGGGTATATCGCCGTTTATTTTATGCGAAAGCTATGCGGATAAGTTTGGAAATCAACGAAATTAGCTGACCCTTTGCAAAGAGCTTATCAAAATTCGGACTGGGAAGCGGAAGCAGATTAAAACATATTTTAAATATTTTTCGTCGTGCTGTTATTGATAAATTGTAAGCGTGGCTTTGCAAATCATGCGGGCCTTATGTATATAAATATAATACTTACATACATAAGTATTTGCTTATAAATATATCTGGACTCATATAGAAGCTGCTGATTTTTAAGAACTTTTTTCAAAGTATTTTAAAGTATTTGTAAAAGTGTTTACTAAGCTATTTTTTTTGCGCGATTTTCTAAAAAAGAGCACCAAAACTGCGTCTTCAATTCACTTCTTTAATTAATGTCACCATTGAACTAAACAAGACCATTTTTCTGCCTCAAAGGTATACCTTGTATTGTGTAATATCGAAATAAACGCCAAAAGTCGCCAGTTATCCAAAGCGCCGAAAAAGAAAGGCGCTTAATGCGCGATGAGACCAACTTTCGATTTGGCGCTGCGACAGGTTTACACAATAAATTTTATTTACCTGTTTTATTGCTGTTTCTCGGCGCTTATTTTTTATCAGCATATTTAAAGCGCAAAATATGCGCGAACATTTGGCTATTTATGCCGATGAGTACGCGTTATATATTTTGTTTTCGGGCGCATTTCCGACGCGCACAACTCACAGCGCTACGCTTACAACAACAGTAGCAACAACAGCACAGCGCAGCAGCTTGTCGCCAGCGCGACTGTGACGGCGAGCATGAATGGTCAATGAATTAACATTAAAAAGTGAAGCATCCTCTGTAGTTGCGGGCGGTTGCGCCGCGGCGTTTGCGGTATTAACAAACTCTTTGTTGTTGTTTTCATTTTTTAGTGTACGAAAAACGGCGGCAGTGGATTGGCGTTGCTTGATAGCGTTGCTGTGTTTAATCAGCGAACGCAATCAGCAAGTACACGAGTGTTGAGCAGAAAGTGCGACAGCACCGCACAGCGCTCCGTAGGCGACACCATTGCCGTAAATTCATACTACAATTACAACAAACGCCAATAAAGAGTGTTTGTTGTTCTGTGAAGAGCAGAAATTAAAATTAAAAATTGTAGCTGCAATCAGCACCAAACCCTGCTGGCCATTAATTACGCAAGTGATTTTAATATTTTATTTGCGCCTTCATGACAGTTGTTGTTATTGGCGTGCTTTTTTTGATATTTCTCATTATTTTACTTTTTTTTCCGGTTGCTTTTAAAATAAATTCTTCTTTATGAATATTACTGCTTCAATTGGTGGTGAACAAGAGTGAAACGCATACAAATTAAAATAAAAGAAATTAAAGAATAAAATAATATAAAAAAATTTTAAAAAAAGAAGTAAAACTAAATGTTTAAATGTGTTAGTGAGAGCACTTTAAACAGCTACAAACATTTTTTTCTTATTTTTGTTTTAATTAGTATGTATGTATATTTGTGTCCATCTAGGTATATTATATGCTATTAAGAATACTAGTTAGTAAAATTTTCTAAATCATAACTGTACTTAAGTTGTTCGAGCTATGAAAAATCACGATTGAATAACTCAAAATTGTCTTCAACCGAAGTGAGTTGAATGAAGTTAATTATTACAATTTTGAGTTGTTTTGTTATACAATTTGGTTAATATTTTTTTTTAGTTTCTTAACATCAATAATCATGGAAAATTATTGTTGCTCCAAGTTATTTTTTTTTCGAAGAAGTTAAATTTATTATAATTTTAGTGTGTGTTTGAAAAAGTGCGACACAATTCGCGAAATAAATTTGTTTGTGCCTTATATCCTCCAATCATTTTATGTATTTAAAAAAAGTGAAAGTCCGATAGATGGCTCTATAGTCGAACTATTACCAAAAATCGCATTTAACCTTAAAAAAAGGTAAATACACTTGCGAAAATTGTCTTCTTTAGAGCAAAAGCCGAATTTTCTGAATTTAATAAGAAATAAAATATAAGTAAAAATGTGCACTTAGCATTTTTTATCAGGAACTTACATAGATTCGTTGAAATGTTTCAATTATTGTACATTTTAATGTTAACGTCAATCCAATAACAACTGAAAACCACTGAATATAACGGTATTAGAGCCAGTTAACCAGGCTATTAAACTACCAACTTTCCACACATAAATGAAGTGTCCATTGAACTTTAACTAATTTTTAAATATTGTTCAGTATAACCGAATAAATATTTTACCTTATTTTTAGTCGGTTTGGGTTTTCGGCACCTATTCTCATTGCTCATTGCATAAAACCTCGACTGAAAGTACCACACATCGGAAAAATTTCGATAGACTTGCTCAGATTATAATATGCGATCTTGATCTCAACAACTGAGATTTTCGATTACCTGTGAAGAATCAAACCGTTTTATAAAAATTACCTAATTTTATATGAGAAATGTAAAAACTTTCGAAGATACATACATGTGCTATGAAAAATGTCTATGGTATGGGAAGTGCCATGCCCCTTTTTAATTTTGTCTGGTAACCTTAATTCTTCATCAAGAATGCTGTATTGATTCCATTTTGTCGCCAATTTCGGTGATTTCTAAATAATATTTTTCAAATATTCTTAAAAAATAATGTTTGTAGAGACGTCTGCACACCTATTTGATGTATCGAAATTATCTTTCATCTATGACAATTTTTGGAAGGTTGTTTATGATTAACTAAATTTGTCAGGAATCGCTTTACGATGTTTTTGTGCATAATTACATCCTCAAATGATTTTTATGCTATATCTGAATTTTTTTTTTTATTTTTCAAGGTATAGTCACAAATTTTTATCTCAGACATATAAACTGCACGATCAAAATCAAGAAAAATATCTTTCTTATATCCTTTTATAATAAAATTAATAAAAAGAAACACTTGTGAAGGGTATTATAATTTTAGTGCAGCCGAAGTTAGCGCTTTTTCTTGCTTTTATAGATAAAGATTCTGAACTTATTTTATTTGGACAAAAATATTATAAACTATAACAAAATATTTTTTTTAAAAAAGTTCAACCGAGCCTTGAAAGCAAAATATATCCAAGTTTCTGCCGGAAAACGACAATGTTGGCAACAAGACTCTGAGCTCTTGACGTCCGCACGCTATTTTGAGTCACTGTATGTGCGCAAGTGTATTGCACAATGATAAGCTAAAGCAAATATACGGACATAACTTATTAAATAATTTGTCGGAAATAAAAATAAAAAAACACGAGGAAGTCTAAAAACGCTTGCAACCAAAAGAAGTGTAAAAATACATACAAACAATGCAATAAATCTTTGTAATACAAAAAAATATATATATGTACTTACAAGTATGGACAATTTGTGGCCAAAGCACAAACGACAAAAGTGAATTCCAAATGGCAATAAGCAATTAAACAATCAAATAAATGTAACTGATATGGCATTGACAGCAGGCTGCATGCCATACATCCAAACAAACACGTATATATGTATGTGTGTATGTGCGCGACAGCAGCAGTTCCGTGTGCTGGTGTGTCACCTGTTAATTCCATTAAAATGGCTCAACACTTGGCGGCCAAATAAAATTACCAACGCCGTTCGCCGGCCACTTGCCATGGCGTCCGCTTAGTGTTTCGCGCATGCGCACCACCAGCTGCCAACAACAACACACTGCAAAGCATAATTGTAAATGTAAACACACACACACAGTCATAAGTTAATGGGCTTGTGTATGTGTGCGTACTTGCATTACACAAACGCGGTCAATCAATTTGAGTTATTGTTAGCTGGTGTTACACAGTTACGCCGCTGCTGTTGTCATTGTTGTTGTTGTCTGTGTTAGTTAGCTTAGTTGGGTGTAGTTTTGAGGTAGAAACGCGCGGTTTTGTTTACAAATACGATAGTTGCAAGCGCGAACAAACACACATACACACACACACTCACCTATGCCTATACAGGTGTAGCCATATGTGCCTTTATTTGCGCATGCGCCTGTGTATTGCGCCAATTTTTGTGCGCTTTAAAGCAAAGAGTTCATGGTCAAAGCGCTCTGTGATGTACTGGTCGCTTTTCGGTCTCACACTCATAACAGTTCGGCCATGGATTGCATCATTCGGGCGCTCGAACGTCGTGTCAGTGACTCTGTGGGAATTTCAATTCGAGCGGCGCTTAATGTTACACTAAAATGTCGATGTGCAACTTAAATTGCCAACAATTGAGTGCGCAGTGCGCTATAAGTAGGTTAAAACAATAACGTAATGGCTTATTGACAAATATCGGTGAATTACTGTAGCAATAGTATCCAGATGAAGTCGAAGTTTGCGCTGAAAATAACTTTATTTTTCAAATGCATTTTGTATAAAATGCATATATGTAAATCGTTTGTGGGCGTGACTGTGATATGAATATAGTTCGATTTCGTATTACCTTCAAGGTCAGCGTGTGGTGTTTTGTGTTAATACTCATAAGTTGGTTGTTATCGCTTACAGCGTTGCTGGGTGCTTGAAGGAGCTGCTGCTTTTTTTGTATGTGGATACTTAGCAAAAGAGGTGGCGAGTCTTACAAATTCTAAAACATCTTTGAACTACTCATGGGTTAAAGAAAAGACAATTTCTATTAGAAATTAGACAATCAGAAGGTCAACATATTATTCAATGTTTTCGCTTATTTTAATACAAATATGTATAATCGCCTTCAAAACAGAATCTTCAGCCAATACAAATATGTCAACGCTTAATCCAAATTTCCATACACTTAAGCATCTCTTTTGCTACCTCTACTCGATGTCGTTTTTGCAAAAGATTCAGGTCTTTTACTACAAGTCTAGCATTGATATGCTTCATACCCAATACGTCAAGCAAAATGTGTTGAGTCGATCCAAAAGAGATATGGAGATCCTCTGCTATCTCTCAACGCTTTTCAAGCACTGTTTCTTTAACTTTTTAATCAATTAATCGTCATTAACAGAAATGGATGGATGACATGTGAGAGGCAATTTTCGATGCCTTCACCGCCATAACTGAATGTTGTTAATATAATATTGTTTCTTGTTTTCGGTTTTGAGATAATTTTAAGCAGAAAAATCTTATTCACCGTCAGACAGCTGTTTGTGAAAGTCTTCGAACGGAACGACGATCAAGGGAATACAAAATGAATCACAGATTTCTAAAGTACTTTATTTGTAATTGGATATAACACTTTAAACAAGTATTAAGGGCTAGATTTCGCAATTGCTTCTTTATTTTGTCCATAGAGGGTATATATGTGCATATATCACCTCCATAACTAGACGTTAAAATTTCAACGTCTTGATTTTCATTTCAACATATTTACATTCTAATTGCTTTCGTCATCACTCAACAGCAAACTGCCACTTGACTCTTTATTTACATTTCGCATCAAAACGCAAAGTGAGCTGCAATATTCTCACGCCTTGACAAATTAAACTCTGACACTCACTCAATTTTTCATGTTAAGCTCGGTTGCACGGAAGCTATAACACCCTTCTAATAATATAAAGTAGTTTTCCATACAGAAACTAGATTTTGATCGATCAATTTGTATGGCAGCTATATGCTATAGAGGTATGTATATAACTATTTTTAATAGGTTCTCCGACGTTTTCTTCTGGGTGCTAGAAACTTGGTTGCAAACCTAATACACGCTGTTCAGGGTATGCAAAGCAGCCAAATAGAACTCGCAAAGTGGCAAGTATGTAGCTGGGTACTCAACACCTCTGTGACATTTCAATCAAAATCAATTGAAGCACTTCAGGAATGCCAGTGACGCTCCAGTCCTTCAAAACAGTTATGCGAAAATGACAAAAACAAAATGTGACATATTAGCATAAATAACCGTTGTATGCGACAAGGCGATCAAAGCATGTTTTATTGATATAGTCAAACATATACATGCATACAAAAAAATGTATAAACACACACACGCACATGTACTTGTTGCTAGTAAATATATTCTACAAATGATTCACGACCGATCAAAACAATGTCGCAGAAAATAAAATCAAATGCTTTAATAAAAGCCACTTACACAATGGTATTTGTATGTGCTTTATACTTGTATGTGTGCATGTATGTGTATGTGAACCCATGAACTTTGCTAAATGCTGGAAATGAACATATTCTCTAAGCGAAAACAAAAATATATTTTTTCCACTAAAAATTGCTTGTATAATTTACTGTAAAGTTAGTCACAACGCCCGTGTCTGAATGTGTGCGTGAGCGCATAACAAGTGAACTGATTTAATTTTTTGTGGGACTATGGACAGTGAAAATAATGTCTAGTTGTGAAATGTGTAGTCAAGTCGCATTAATAAAGCTGCAAACAATAGAAATTGCTATAGCAATATGTACATATATACATATATGTATATGTATGTGTATATGCATATATGTGTTAGTATGTAGGTGTGTGTACCTAATTATTCTTATATAAAGCATGTAAACAACAGACTTGCCGTGAATTATGCGAACAACGAGAAAGTGTCATCGAAAGGCCTACACACACGCTCACATACACACACACACACATAGAAGAGCAATTGTGGATTTTACAATAAAGAATCTCTTTTTATTACGAATTATTTGCAAAATGTAGAAAAAGTGAAAAAACAATTAATAATTAATAAACAAAATGTTTATGAAACAACAAATTAAGTGCATATTGGAAAATTGGCGAACACAAAAGTTGTCATAATATGCGGCAGCAATTATTACTTTTGACGCATTTTCATTATTTCACTGGCTTTGAATGGCTGCACACATATACTTATATACACAAACATATACCCGCTTTTTAACATAATAAAAATGTCTGATGTGTTAATTTAACTGTACTTTAGTTTACTCATTTAATAATTTTATTTAAGTTCACATACACGGAAACACACTTATGCACTTGTGCAGTTGTTGCCGTGGCATAGGTGCAACTATAAATTATTATTTATTAATTAAAAGAACAACCATGAATTTTTTTCGAATAAACAAGTGATCGATGAGCGAAAAAAAATATTTAAATTCTCAAACGAATTATGATACATATAACACAAGCGTGTAATATTATACACACCATATATGGCAAAGCAGTTAATGTGTGTGCATAAATGCGAGTGTATTCAATTAATTAAAAATTAATAGATGTTTATTGAATAATATTGATTTTTCACACATAATAATATACCCATTTGTACATATGTATTATGTTGTATTGTTGGATGAACCTGCCATGATGAAAGTTCTTGTTCGGCTTTAAGGGGTTATATCAACTTTTGAATTTCTAAAAATCGATTTTTTATTTTGCATGTATTTGATATACATTTCTATATAGTTGAAAAAATTTTACCAAAATTTTAAGTTGATCTGGCAAACAGTTTCGGAGATATGAGCGCATTTGTAAGAATTTCCCAGCTTAGTGTGTTCGGTTTACAAAACATACAATTTTTACACAAAAACCGATATATATGTTTTGGAAGCCGCTATTTTATTAAAAATTAAACTTTTGACTAGCCCTTCGATCATTACCTATATTCATCTATAGTATATGAGATAATTTTAAGCCGAAAAATCTTCAGCACTGCTTAACATATTTTCTGAAACTATTAGCATACCAAAGTATTTATTTTATTTTTTATAATCAAAGTAAAGTCTACAGATCAGACTTACTATG